GGAGCAAAATGCTCCCACAGGGAGTCAGCTCCTCCGCTGGCCCCAGTAAGCCCTCCCGTTTCCCAAAACCCACCCAGGAAGAGCAGCCCAAATACCTCTCCCTTTTGCCCCTGTTTAACTACAGGCATAAAACGGACAGAGGCATGTCAACATTATGTGTGTCATTAGCAAACAGGTTGGTTCACTATGGAAATCTGCTGCTTTAGAATGAAGGCCTCTGCAAAGTCTGCTTTCATTGTCACTGTTGGGTGACGAAAACTGTAATTTTTTTCTCAGCCTCATGTCTCATGCCCGTGCTTGACACATGGCCCGTGTCCAAATGCAGAAGTGTTGTGTGATTGGCCAGACGTTTGTGGGTGTGTCTTTATGCGGAAAAACTCTCTGACAGGAATGTTGCCAATTCGATTTAACTACTCAGCTTATAGAAACCAGCAGTTGTACCTGCAAACAATAGTTTTGAGGAGCAATTGTCCAAGGCTGTCAAAGTTGATCCATCTATACGACTCTTCCAAACACTTATAAAGGTAGTCAAAGTCCTGGAACTAAGAAAGGTGTCTGTGAAAACGAACGTCTTGTCACCACAAGACCGTGAGTTGGCTACTCTGTGTCAGATCAAGTATGCTCCCTTTAGTTTGCTTTCAGCTCTTTAGACTGAAGAAATCTTTTGGATGAAAACCCAAATGTTTCAACAAGGAAGAACCTGTCCAGAGGACCCAACTCAACCTACCTGGATTGCTGAGCATGCAAAGATTTGCTCTTATGAGCTGTCAAAACAAGAATTTTCAGGCTGTTTTAGTAAAGTATAAGTGCAGCCATTCCTTTTTTCTTTTTTGAAACAAATCAAGACCGTTAAAGAAATCAGTCATCACCAGGTCTTAAATTAGTCTAAACACAACTAGCCTGGTAAAAACCAGACCCTTGTCCTTAACTTTGCTTTGTATGAGGGTCTGGACTCTCGGCTAAAGAGAAGCGATTCTTACTGGAGGTGTGGCCTCTGCTGAAGTAAGTAAGTAAGTGTGTGTGTGTGTGTGTGTGTGTGTGTGTGTGTGTGTGTGTGTGTGTGTGT